GCCGCGGGCCTCAGCGCGTCACGACCCCGGACGGGGAGGGCTCGATCCGGGGCCCAGGAGCCCGCCGCTCCCTTTTATGGAGGCCCATTGTCGGCGCCCGCCAGGCAGCCCCGCCCCCTGCGCCTCCCGCCAATCACGCGAGGCCCCGCCCCCGGGCCCGCCCCGGGCACGCGGCTGGGTTGCAGACCCCGGCCTCGCGGTGCTGTGGGATTCGTTCCGACTCTTTGGAGACCCTGCCCGGCTGGACTGCTGGCCGGAAGGGCACTGTGTGCGCTCGGGGTTTTGCTCTGCGCTTTCCTTGGTGAAGTCCTCCCAGGCGGGGAGTGGAGACCGCATTCCTTCTGGTCTGTTGCTCTGTGCCTTTGGGCATCATTCTCTGGACCTTACTAGACAAAGGAACCAGAAGATGAAAAGGACCAGCGTGGAGTGTGCGGGGAGCGTAAACCTGCTCCCCGAAGGGTAGCATTTCCGTTTTTTGAAGCGTGAATCCGGAGAGTGTGGCCTTTTCCCAGGACACAGCCAATCTCTAGAGCCTCCAAGGCCAGGGTGCGGTTGCCATGGTGCTGCTGCCTGCCATTCATGCCCTGGTTTAGGTAAAACCATCACAAGTGAGCGCGTACTGGGTTGTAGAACTCTTCCTGTGCTCGCGCGCGCGCGCGTGCACGTACACTCGAGATTCCATCCGAGAGACAACAAAAATGTCTAGCACTAAAAATTTCCTCTTAGAAAAAGACACTAAATCAGCCCAGAAACGGTAGCAATTCAGAATAATCTAGAAGGCCAGGGGATGGGAGAGGAGGAATAAAGTAGTTTCTTATGGTATTTTAGTGTGTGTTATTCCTTAGGCATGCTAAACACTCTACCATTATCACCAACTTTGTTTTGTTGAGACACCATGCAGCACACCGTGGCCTGGAACTTGCTGTGTAATCCTGACTGCCCTGGAACTCGGCACCCTCCTTCCTCAGCCTCCCAAGTGCTAGGATTAAAGATGTTTGCCACCACGCCTGGCAAATTACAATAGACTTTTTTGCGGGGGGAGAGTCTTTTTGAGACAGGGTCTCCTTGTAGCCCCAGCTGGCCTGGAACTATATACACCAGGCTGGCCTCGAACACAGATTCGCCTGCCTCTGCCTCCTGAGTGCTGGCATCAAAGGAAATTTATTTTTGTTACTTTTTTAAAAAATATTTTATTTATTTTTAACGTGTATGAGTGTATTGCCTGCATGTATGTGAGTGCACCCGTGTTGTGCAATGCCGCAAAGATCAGAAGAGGGCTTTGAATTCCCCTGAACTGGAGTAAAAGACTGTCGGTAGCTGCCATGTGGGTACTGGGAATTAAACCTGGGTCCTCTGCAAGAGTAGTCAGTGCTCTTAACCACTGAGCCATCTCTCCAGTGCCTATTTTTGCTACTTTTCAGTGGATCCAGTATTTTAAAAATCATCCAGGGGTTGGAAAGATGGCTCAACGGTTAAGAGCACTGACTGCTCTTGCAGAGGACCCAGGTTCAATTCCCAGCACCCACATGGTGGCTACAAAGGTCCTTAACTCCAGTTCCAGGGGCATCCAAAGCCCTCTTCTGACCTCCGTGGCATTGCACGACATGGGTGCACTCACATACATGCAGGCAATATACTCATACACATAAAAAAATAATAATAGACTGGGCGTGGTGGCGCATTTAATCCCAGCACTTGGGAGGCAGAAGCAGGAGGATCTCTGTGAGTTCAAGGCCAGCCTGGTCTACATAGTGAGTTCCAGGACAGCTGGGGCTACAGGGAGACCCTGTCTCAAAAAGACCAAAAAATAAATAATAATGAAAATAAATAAAATACTTAAAAAAAAAAGTCAGGCTCCATGGGTAAAGGCACTTGCCACCAAGCCTTCCAACCTGAGCTCAATCCCCAGGACCCATATATGGTAGAAGGAGAGAACTGTCCTACAAGTTGTCCTCTGACTTCCATGAGCCCAAACACACAGCACACATACACACAAATAAATAAAATGTACTAAAAATACATTTTGAATATTACTGCAGTTGGAGATGATTTCTCCAATGGCAGCAGCGTGAATTTTAGGAATAACAAAGCCAGAGATGGCCCTTCCAGGCTAAACTCACTGGGGGAGCTCCAGGCCCCAGCTTCCATCTCAATAAAAAGGTTCTTTTAGTGTTTCTCAGGCTCCTGTGACAAGCAGGTATAAACCATGCTTGGACTGAGGCAAAGGCAGAGCCACTTCACAACCACAACAATAGCAAGTAATTGCTTAGTTGCCTGGTTTCCAAAGATGGCTCTAATCCTTTATGAATCCCGCAGCAACACAGATGAACATAAAGATGCCCAGCTTCCAAACGGTGGCCTTTCTCCTTGCTGTATTAGGAGAGTGAATGCACCAGTGAGGATGTCATGTTTTTTTCTTTTAACAATTTATTTTTAAAGGTTTATTATTTATTTATATGTATATGTGCGTGTGTGTACGTATGCTGTATTTGTATGTATATGTGTTTATATGTATATGTGCGTGTGTGTACGTATGCTGTATTTATATGTATTTGTGTTTATTTATATGTATATGTGCATGTGTGTGCATATGCTGTGTACATACAGCTGCTTGTGGAGGCCAGAAGTGGGTGTTGGATCCCCTGGACCTGGAGTTACTCGACTTGTTAGCCTCCATGTGGGTGCTAGAGTATCACTTGCTCTTAACTGCTGAGCCATATCTCCATCCCCTTATTTTATTTTAATTATGTGTATGTTTGCATGTCTGTGGGTAGACATGTGCATGTGGAGGGTGTCTCTTCGGAGGTCAGAAGGTGTGAAATCCTCTGGAGCTGGAGTTACAGGTAATTGTGAACTGGCCAGTGTGCATGCTGGGAACTGCACTCTGGCAGAGCAGCAAGGGCTCTTAACCACTGAACCATCACTCCAGTAATGTTAACTTTTCCTGGTGTAAGAAACATTAAATACGCCCGGTGTGGTGAAGTATGCCTTTAATCCCAGCACTCCATGGCAGAGGCAGGCAGATCTCTGTGAGTTCAAGGTCAGCCTGGTCAGTCTGGTGTACATAGTGAGTTCCATCCCAGCTGGGGCTACAGGAAGACCCTGTCTGAAAAAAAAAGAAACATTAAATATTAAAGAAACATTAAATATTAGTCTTTTCTTTCAAACCCTGTAAATTTTAAACTTGGTTTATGGCAAGGAATTTTAACCCTTTTTTCTTTTTTTTTTTGGTCTTTTTGAGACAGGGTCTCCCTGTAGCTCCAGCTGTCCTGGAACTCACTATGTATACCAGGCTGGCCTTGAACTCACAGAGATCCGCCTGCCTCTGCCTCCCCAGTGCTCGGATTAAAGGCATGCACCACCATGCCCGGCTTTTTTGTCTTTTTGAGACAGGGTTTCCCTGTAGCCCCAGATGACCTGGAACTCACTATGTAGTGTGTAGGCTAGGCATAGAGATCCACCTGCTTCTCTGCCTCCCAAGTGCTCATCTGGCACCAGGTGGAATTTTAATCTTTCAATCCTACCGAATCCTTTAAGACTTTTCTTTAAGGAAAGGCCCTCATGCATTCCTGAGCCTGATGGCCTGGGGTGGTGGAGCTCTTCTCCCTTCCACCAGTCTAAGACTGTGAGGTTGGACTCCAGCCAGTGGAGAAAAGACACAGTATTCTTGCCTTATGGATAAAAACCAAGGAAGCTTCTGGGTGCTGTGTACTTCCTGGATCAGATCCCAAAGCAACTGCACCCTTTTGCAAAAGTAAAATCTGCCTTGGGAGTTACTTTTGCTTTTTCCCCATGTCGGTCGTACCCTATCTATGGGGTCCTCGGACCTCTGATTGTATTTCTAGCAGTGAGAAGTGAACCAATGTCTGGTCATTCAGATAGGGCAGACCAGAAAAACAATTCCACCCAAGTCCAACTTGGTGAACCAATGAGTTGAATTAGGGTTATTAATAGGATGATGGTCAGCTTATAGGTGGCTACACCATTAAAGAAAATGTCTCTCTCCCTGTGATCATTGAACACTTACATTTTCTGGGGGGGGAGGGGAGCATGGCTTCATGGGTCTAGTGCCCTGAGCCACTGTGAGCTGCTTGTGTGCCCCTTTGGCTCTGACTCCTATGCCACTTTCACAGACTATCTCCAGAGCATCCTACTCTGCTATCCTGGGGCTAAATGTAGCACCCCCCAAATGTGTTCTATGTCAGAATAGCTATCATTAAAAAAATAACAAGCTGCCGGGCATGGTGGTGCATGCCTTTAATCCCAGCACTTGAGAGGCAGAAGCAGGTGGATCTTTGTGAGTTCAAGGCCAGCCTGGTATACATAGTGAGTTCCAGGACAGCTGGGGCTATAGGAAGACCCTGTCTCAAGAAGACCAAAAATAATAATAATAATAATAATAATAATTTTTCTTTAATTTTAAATATGTTTTCCATATTCTAGGGACAAGAAAAGTACATTCCACGGGTTGCTGTCTTGCCTCTGGGAACAGGCAATGATTTGTCTAATACACTGGGTTGGGGTACAGGCTATGCTGGAGAAATCCCAGTTGCACAGGTCTTAAGAAATGTCATGGAAGCAGATGGAATCAAACTAGATAGGTACATATGCTTTGCTTGAAAGTGTGTTACTTGATATTGGGAATATTACTTTTGTTTGTAAAGGAAGACTTATGTAGCTCTAAAATTAAATGTAGTTGTCCAGGCATGGTGACTCAAACCTATAATCCCAGCTTTGGGAGATTGAGGCAAGAAGACCACCGTGATTGAGGCCAACCTGGGCCACAGAGTAAGACCCTGTCTCAAGAAACCAAAAACAAAAAGTTAAAGTGATCACAAGGTGCTCACACATTTTCCTCCTGGTTAGTCTCCAATTACCTACACTTTTTCTTATTTTTTGTCCTTGGTCCAATTGCTTAGCTCTTCCCC